CTTGCCCAACTGATGACGATGATCTATCAGTTGTTTGGCCGACCGATGAAAAAAAAACCAACTTCTGTAACTAATTCATTCCGTTGGTTCTGTGTGGAACAGAACAGGATGATCAGAAAGCACTCGAACAAACGCCCCGTCGTCCAATTTCATAGATACTTGGTGTGTACTGTCGTTGAACTTCTTTCCTCAATGGCAGTCAATTTTCTCGTCCACGATTTAGGTTGCGACCATTTTTGGAAATGTGTATCACCTTGGCAACGGTCAAATGAACTACAAATAACTCTCGCTATTATTACTATTTAACACCCTAGGGAAATTTATCCCTTGAAATGCTTTTTCCAAAGTTAGGCAAAGTAAAAGTTTCGTGTGCGAATATTTGTCTGAAAGGCTACTTTGTCATTGTGTGTGTTCTTCAGTATCCGAGTGAATGGTGAAGTCGATTTTTTACAATCTCCTGGGAATAATCAACCCAAGAGCAGTATATTCTCCGACCCTAAAGGAACTATCGGGTGTAAGCAACTCCGACACTATACCAAAAACTTAATCCGCTTTAACTAATAACTCCTCTAACACTAATATAGCTGAACAGAACTTCAGAAAGAATGTAACGCTGTGTGCAAAGCATTCGTTGTGTTCGGTGATGAAATACTAGTAGTGACGTAAAATTTTATCATCAAAGTTTGTTGTCATTTCCGATAGTTGCGATGTTTTCGAAATTGGCTTACCATTCCGGCCTCAATTTAATTAGATGTGAATGAACCGTACTTCAAACTTTGGGCTACAGAACCACTAAATTCCGGTTGGATCAGTGATCAGTCTGTTCATCAATGGTGAGTAATCAGAGAGCAAAATAGACAGTTTTTCTGACATTAGTTAATTCTGTGGAACATGAACTTCTAGGCTGTGCGAACTAAAGTGAACTTGAATTTCACTTTAATCAGAGCTCATCAGTAGTGTATATCCATTGTCAAATAAATAACATTTATTACCACTTTTCACAAGTAAAAACGTAATTGTGAATTGAAAATGTGCGACAATATGTCCAAGCTTTCAAGATGGACCTGATTCAAGGAGAGGCTTTGATTGCCTTTTACAAGTGGTATACTGTAGCTCCTTCCGGTAATGTCTGGCCCAAAGAGAGAAATGACTGATTATCACTGCAGATGACAGCTGAACAAACATGAATTGACCATTCCGGTCAGCTCGGTAAGAGCGGGTTGGCACAGCAGTAACACACGCGACTGGTTCGAAGTTCAGAGCCCGGACAGGACGACGGATATACACAACTGATGTGCTCTAGTGAGAGCTAAACTCTAATCTGGATGGTAAAATGGACTGTATGAACTGAGGATTGTGCCTGTCGATGAAGTCTGAATGCCAATCAGTTCAAATGGGTAATATTTATTTTACACTACGACTCACAGCTAACTGTGATTCGGAATGCGGATTAACATACAATTCATCAAATTCACATTTTAATTAGTCATGACTGAGACGCTTGAAAAACTCCCTTGCACTAAATTGCTCTCAATGACTTATGAACATCACTACAGAATAATACTATCCACTATCTAATGAGGTGGAATAGAAAAGTGGTAAATAATAAAAACAAACCCTTGCCTTCCAAGACGTTCACTTTTAGAGAATTATGGAGTAGTTCAGATGAATCCTCCACTACTCATTTACCACAACCAGTTAGCATTGGGGTGTTTCCAAACGACTCGATCCCCCTAGAATGAACGAGGTGAAACGCCTGCAACAAGCATGCATTATTAGGTTGTTCTATAGTTCGCATATTCACTTGAACCAATGTATTGAGTTACCGGAAGGTAAATTGGATAGTATGCTTGTGTACTATCTGTGATGTCCCGTAGTTTGATCTTCAGTCGGGTTGGTGGGTTTCCACTAGTGGTAAATAAATTTTAACAGCTGAAAAGTTCATGTTTCATTCACTCTCTACGCGACGAAACTCATCGTGAAACGATAAAATTGACAAACTATCCATTTTGTTGTATAGTTTCTTGTACTTCAGAACGTATGGCAGCAGTTTCAACCTTGTTGGGACTCTTCAACAGTGAGTAAGATATGTTTCATCCCCTTTTTCTTCCCGTTAACTTCACTGTATCTTACTGAGTGCAAATATTGATACAAGTAATTTTCAGGAAAGAAGAAGAAACCACACAAAAAATGGTGAAAGTTAGGTGACAGTAGTGATCATCGAAAACACATCCTCCGGAGTGATACGTAGGCAACTTGACCACCTTTTGGGATTAGAACCACGAACCACGGTGAGCTGCGGCCGGAAACTTGACCCCTCGGGTACATGGTTTACCGCCATTTCTTTGACTGCATGGCAATTCAATGAATACAACAGGTTACTGGTTTATCCATTGCTAATTCAGAGGGATATATTGTACATTTTTATTACACACCTTGTATCATGAACACCAGACGGGGTTAGCCCCCTAATAACTCTGTTCAGACATAGAAACCGGCAATCTAAGCCTCGGGAACTTAAAGTGACGAACCACATCAGGCCTGGCCACGTTGAGCGTGATAGTAAACCGGACGAAATTGAGACTGTTTACCACACCTATTGCGTAAATGTTATTCCTTGGGAGATTGTGCTTTCCACCACCGGAAACATGTTTTAATTTTTTGTGAAACTCGACAAAACCACTCTCTGAATCCATACGGGCTAAAATCAGAACAAATTAAAATAATATACACATTGAAGTGGTTGTTACAGATTAAATTAAATCTGAATGTTCAGAAGCAATAACTGAATTTCTAGTCGCATTGAGAACCAGCATTTTCCATCACCATATATGAACAGAATAAAGTAATAAACATCGACCCAGCCGCAGTAGTATCACCTAAAAATAGCATTGTTCACAGTAGATGTCAATCCGTCAGGTTATGGTCGCTGAGTATTACATCCGATACACCTCTACCCGGGGACGATGCCTCGGAGCCCGGATACGTTTCTGTTCCACTCCGTTGTAATACTGCTCTTCTGTTAACCATTCCGAGCACAGTAGAATGGGTTCATATTCTATTGTTTTTTTCCTCTTTAATCCCATCAAACACAGTTCAGAAATGTCGAGAATATTACGTTGCTTGTTCTCAAAGCGATGATATATATATATATATATATATATATATATAATTTGCATCAGAATATAGTTTTGTTTCCCTATCGGTACTCGAACCGCGGACTTACGCAGCAAAATAGCCATCTTCAGTAGTGATTTACTTAGCAGATAGGAATTAATATGTTAGTTGGATAGTTCACCATCGGTTAAGTTGTTCACATTGACCGTCCTGGATCACGGGCACGAACCGCGTATGGAAAAGAGTATATCCACCTCCAGGGACGTGTGTTCGAAACCCAGCACAACCACCGCCCAACTNTTCGAAACCCAGCACAACCACCGCCCAACTTTCTCTATTGTGTGTTGAATGGCAGCCCTTTGATTGGCTGCTTCCCCCTTCCTGAGAATTGCATCATTGTATATTTAGTGAAAGAAAGTGAAAAATAAAAATAAAAAAGGATTCCCGTTTAGGTTCATTTTCCTTCCCTTGAGAATAAGTGTTTGGTTCTTGCATTTTCCTTTGAGTTAACCCACAATCATGTAAGACATCCACAAAGAAAGATGCAGTGCAGCTTTTGGATAAAAATAATATATTGTGGAATCCTTTTGGAGTTGGACTGTCCATTTGGGTACGGCATATGATTATTGCTGAACCAGACTATTTGCAGTACCCCATGCGTCCTGCTTATTCTCTATCAAGAATCCAACCAAATGAAACTTCGTAATCTCACTTTGACTGAATGCGATCACCAGCTCGTCCCATCGAGATGACTACAGGAGACGATGTCCATATAGGTCGGTAAACATCTCGCTGAACTTCCGTCCTATTCTTTCCATGTGCACATGCGTGGATGCACATAGATGCATCGTCTTAGACACTTAGTTTTCAATCGCGGCTTGTGCTGCTTTGNTGCCATTGACATGCTTTTTCGGACTAGCCGTGCCTGGGTTGTTCACACAATTCTCTTTTTGTTCAAATTATCCAAAATTTTCTAACGCTTTTCTGTTTGTCATTGATGTTGATTGATCGTGGAAACTATGCCCTAAATCTGGCTCGTATTGTGTTACTTTTCATGCCATATATTAGGACCTCTACATTTTTTCACACAGTCGCTGAACTAATTGTAAGTTTGAATCAGAGAGTGGGAAACAGATTTCAGTGACTGAACTCAGTCTGACCGTTCGACGATCAACGGAAAATTGAGTGGTGACATGAATCTCAGATTCTTCAACAACTCTCCAAAGTTAGGATACCCATCGTTTTTCTAAGCTCTTCTCTCTTGGGCAATGTATTTCTCATGCCAAACACTAACAGTGGATGGGATCGAAAGGAATATTCCTTCAGCTTCATAATTGAATTCGACCCTACTAACTAGAGGCCAACATCCGTGTTATTAAACAAAACATCTTACTCAGTTCTGCTCAAGACGCAACTCGGAGGAAAGTAACACTCAGTATTTTCCATGAAATAATTCATTCTGTTCATCACAACTAGAAAACATTTTCAAATTTCATCCTATTATAGATCGATAAATTTATATTTCAATAAGAAAAAAACAATCTTTCAACACTACTGAATGGTACAACCTATCTTGGTGGTGCTCCAGTGATATCGAACACATATTCAATGACAATTTCGTGGTCTTTCTTAAAACTTGCCTTCCATGGACACATGTGTTATGCTATCGGGATTCGAACCTGAAATTGTCGTGTTCTGTTGAGCAAACTAAATCCGCTAGTGTTGTGAACTGTAGTCGCACTCATTGAATTTGTAAACATGCTCGAAATAAAACGCTTTCTCCGGAGTATGTTTACGTCCTAACCCAGATTGACGCCTGTGTAGTGCTTTCAAAAAATAGCAAAAGAAATGTAGTCTGGAAATCACGTTGTGTTGAAACTCACATGTCGTTTTAATTGTCGATAGATATAATCCATACGTTTGAAATCATGTGAATTGCACGAAGCATATGAACCAGGTTGACTTTTTGGACTTGCCGAACCAGTCAGTGTGGTTGATGTCTGATCTGCATCTGGACTGAGATCTATAAAACATGTGGAACGCCTCAGTTCCTGTGCCGGCTTTTCATAACTGAGGTTTTCTTCGTGTGTTTGGGGGGATATGTGTTGCAGTTCGCCCGTGAACTGATGAGTTTCACTCGTATCTTCCGTTTGCTCCGTGGTTAGAACAACAAGAGCCATCTCTGTACGATATTGATCCTTTGGCTGGTTGATTGTCTTCAGTGGATCATCCGATGATTCGTTGTTCATCTCCGTCATGTTCTTGGATTGAGGAAATTTCACAAAATGATAGTAATAATGTTGTATGCTCAGATATAAAGTAAGAATCTTTGCTTCATTTTTGCTTCACGAGAAAATCAGTCTGTAGTAAGCTAGAGCATCAGTAACACCCCGTTTCAAATCATGGGCACGCCCAAGCTGTTGCTCCAGTCCAAAACTGAATCTCGTCTCAACTGCCCCAAATGAACCAATCAGATTCATACTTTTCGGATTAGTAATACGCCCATGTGGTCTGAGCTAGTCATCTGGTTAAGCCGATGGTGAAAATTGAGCGATGTACATTTGCCCGTGTGTCCGCGCCCGTGGTTACTGGTGCGTGTGTGAACGCGCGCGCGCGCGTGCACGCACGCTCGTTTATCTATGTTCTTAAACTGAACGCAAAGCGGGTTACCGATGAAAATACAAATGTTGTCCATCCGTCCGACATATCCTGTTTTGGCGGTAGAGATCGTGAAACCCTAAAAAAAGAAGTGACATTAGACATTGGCTAATGCGCGCACACACGCCTACAGTCCATTTGATCTGGTTTGTCCTAGTTTCGATTTGCACAGCTGAACGTGCCGAAGTACGCAGGAGACGGTAGCGACAACTATTGTGTTTTGTTAGCCTACAGTGGCGTACAGTGTTAAAAAAAACTGCTTATACACTTGAATCTATCATTCCCGAGTTGTGATGATCCGAATTGTCGTGCTTTAAATCCCACACGGAAACAGATGACTACTCCGCTCCAGTTAGCAACATTTTGTCCCTTCTGTTCCAGTCATTAGGCATTTTCCGGGATATTCTAATCAAAATTGAAGTTGCTTTCAGAAAAGCATATATCCACGGATCAAAAACACCCAGAGTATCAGATCCTTAGGAGTGGACGTTTGTGAACCGAACTCACAACACTTTCGAGTGTAAATGTCTCCCCAATTAGCATGTTCACGTGAACCACAAGGGAGTACAAAGTTACAGTTTCGTGTTCTCAACTCCTCAACTGAATGGCTCAGTTATTCCTTATTTCTGCTAGTCTGAGACGTCCAACACGAATATCCCGATGTGATTGCGAATGAACGTGTACTTATCAATTACAGAGTAGTGAAACCTATTTAAAATCATCTGAGTCAGTGCAAGATGCATAGCTGTGTTAGCCAACTGGTATGACGGTTTGGGTTAGCCGTGCACTTTAAGTGAACAGCGTTCACACAGCATGTGTTCGGTGGGTACATATGACTGGAGATCTACAGATTCTAAATGGAAGTGGATGTTATCGAAGAAAGTAGATGCCGTGCTCATCGTATTCGAACCGAAGAAAATGTTTGGAATAAAACGAAAACGTTAGTAGACTCCAAGGCGTTTGGTTACCATCACCCAAGTCCTGAGCTCGGAAAGAATGCACACAGATGATGCAATATATGCTGTTCATGCACAGTCATCGGTCTCTACTGACTGAGTTAATGGAAGTTCATAACAGACCGGATGAACAATTGTGAGCATAATTGGGATCGAATACCCAACAATAGTTTTATGCATAGTGCGAGGGATACTCCACGGGGAGAACTGTATGCTATTTGTCTCCCATTCACCCATGCCCTCAGGTTGTAGGTAAGTGAATAATCATCAGGCTTACCGATAGCTGTGGATAAAGTGGGTTCAAGCCAAGTGAATAACCTACTGCGGAAGAGCAGCAACAGTACCCGAGGATATGGTGAGCTTTCTTTACAACACTCCGTAGTCGGTATTGTCATAAGACGGATGCAACCCGCCTGTAATAAGGCCATTGTCCGGAACGAGGTAGTTCAACCAAATTGCTGACTATAGGCTTGTCTGTAACAAACTTACCGCCTTGGAAGTTGCACGGAGTATGCAGAGTCTACAGATGCAATCAAACTTGGCTGAGGACACTGTTTGTAACCCCATTGCCCGATATTCTCTGAGGCCCCATTGTTTTGTATGGAGTCGACTACTCTACTGGAAGGAGGTAGTCGTGTGGTATGAAAAAGACACACACGATGACTCAACTTCTTTTGTTCTAAGAGGTTTTTATTGTGACATAATGAGTGAAACCGCGTGTAAAACTGCCAGCCTCAGCGCGTGCATACATAACAATCCTTTGAATAATTGGTCCAAGTCAACTTCATGTCCGGTTGCCCTTACGTGTTTCACAACCGTCGATGATGTGTTTGTAATGAACTGTAAACAATGATACCATGACAGTTGTGATAATGGACATAAGTTTTTTTGAGTGATTGCAAAAAGCTTTCAAACGTAAACATGAGCAAGGCGAAGATTAATCAAGCAGCTCTGGTTACAGTGATCAAACAGGAAGATTTAATGGTCAGCCTCGTTGACCATACTCTCTTAATGCGGAACCTATGGTGGGTGATTTCACTATGAAGAGGAATAAGCAAGTGGACCGACAACAGATTCCAACACTCATACCCAATTCAGTTGGTGGAGAACAAAAGCAGAACTCCGCTATTGGAATATTGCGTCTGTTAATTTATCACTTATTTCTCCTTAATAGGTTAACCAATTTGTTATTCGATTTCTTACCAATACAGCTAATTGTTTGATCTACTCTCTTTCATAAACGGTTCGTGTCCATGATCCGGGACAGTCAATCTTAACAACTCAACAGTGACGGTGAACCACCCAAATAACATGTTAAGTCCTCTCTCGTAAGTAAATCACGCCTAAGGATAGTTATTTGGCTGCTATAAGTCTGTGGTTCGAGTACCGATAGGGAAACAAAACTGTAGTCTGATGCAAATTATATATATTCGTCTTCCTTTTCTTTTCATTTTACTTCCTTTTATTGAATAAACAAAGATACAGTTGTCAAGAAGCGGGAAGCGGGCAAATAAAGGATTGCCATTCAACACACCCAGTGGGGAAAGCTAGGCGGTGGTGGTGGGATTCGAACACGCACCCCTTGGGTGATAACTTGGTGACGTTACCATCTGGCCACCACCGATTTCAGGAAAAGCATGGTGTCAATGCAACAGCAGTCGTAATAATGTTAATAACGAGTACAGATTATTGAAATGAAAATTGGAAAATAGAATAGGGAGAACAAATTAGTGGATGATTTTCTTCCTAAGGGAAATTCGTCGTGTACAGAGTAAATGGAGCAAGAACTGAAAATCTATGAAGAACTGTACAACTGTTTCGACCTGATTGTGAAAGGTTCCAACCGAGTCATAACCGCTGAGTCTAGTGTGGAAATAAGTGAGGCGCGATGCCCACAACAAGCTCACAAAGACAGGTTATGCTATATCATGTGAATGGAAAATGAAAAACACTCTGGTCGGCTGCCCGGTGGCCGAATGGGTAGCATGCTTGCATTCTGCCTGTGAGATACCGGGTTCGATCACGAGTTCGGTCGATGGATTCGCACTGCCGATGAGACCCAATTAGGTCGAAACAACTATACAGTGCTTCCTAGCTTTTCAGTTTACGCTTCATTTGCTCTAGACACAACGAATTCCCCTTTCAAATTGAATTAAATCCTCCATTACTGTCATGTGATAATTTTTTGTTAGTTTAACTATACAAGTTTTGAGGGGTTTTCACCTATCATGGGGACTGGGGTTTTGACAAACAAACGGCACAAAAATCGCACCACTGAGTTATATTCTGAACTATATATCTCAGCTTCTCTATCTAACGGTAATCATCATCCCTTGGACCCCGGTCTGGACTACGAGCTGCACCAACCGAAGAAAATGCTGAGACTACATTCTTCATACTTTACGCCATTTCATGGTCTGACAGCCCAACGCTTCTTCCAGCATTGCGCTGTACGTGCAAAGAGAGCACGGACAGGTATATAGTGGGCAGGCATACGCAAAACACGACTGATCCATCGGAGGTGGTATAGAGCAATAACTTCTTTTGGAGAACGACTATCGGTTCCAAACACACGACGAAGATGACGCACGATTTTCCCGCCAGACACGAGCTTCGGAGACATCAGTGGTCAAAACAGAAAGTTGATTAGCATACTGCGCTCGCAACCGTAAAGTAGAACACTATGAACCGCGGCGATGTACAACCCTCCCTGAAGGTAAAGTCGGATATTAAGGCTAAGCCATAGGAGTAGAAAATTGGTAAAAGTTGCTCTAGCTTTCGCTATTCGTGATCTGATCCCTTCCCAAACACCAACTCCAGCTGTGGTCAAGCTCCCAAGGTACTCGACTACTTTTAGGTGATCACCAAAAAGAGTGAGTTCAGGCACAAGATCCTGCCAATCTTGGATGATACAAAACACACCATATCTAGATACCTCTATCGCCAAGTGACTTAAGGCGTGTTGGACTGCCGGTGCATTGGCACTCAGTGAAGCATATTCCAAGTCAATAACTTTGTTCCCTGGGAGGATTTCAGCTCCACAGTTCTCTAAACCAAACAAAGTGTCCTGCAGAACATCCTCGATGAAAACGTTGAAGAGGGACGGGGATACAGAACAGCCTTGCCACACTCCGATGGAGACGCCAAAGGGTGATGAAAACTGGCCACAGGTCCTGACCCGATACGAGGTATGACGATACAACTCTTTGAGAAGCGACGCACTTCTCCGGTATTCTATTTCTAAACAAACAATTCTATAATGCGGTCCTATAGACAGAGTCAAAGTTGGTGCGGATGTCTAAGAATACAATGATGGTTGGTTTTTGGTACACATGATGTTCCAGCAACTGTCGGAGGGTGAGAATTTGATTGATGCATCTACGAAACACAGTCTGCTCCTTTCGGGCATTCTCCTCCGTTGTACAACCTAGGAAGAGTGACGGA